CCAAGGCGTCCTGCCATCCCTCGGATGGTTGCTCTTGGCGGGATGGCACATCACGTGACCTAGCCCCGCGATGATCATTACCTTCTGACGTGGACGTCCATAGGCCTTCGGCCATCTCGTCACTTGTCAAGGAGAGAATCCTTCTTGTTACTTGTAACAACCTAGATACGCTTCACGCCTGCTCCTCTATAGTCATGGAGGTCATCCTTACCTACTAGGACTTTAACTAAGCTAAGCATATTTAGCATAACGCCCGTCTCATCTATATTATATACATTCTCAGGCCGTACCCTTAGGTCCTATAGAACTCCCTTAATTACCTTAAACTAGTATATAACCTAAGTATAGATATTCCGCTTATATTATTTCTAGTCTATTACCTTTACTTTCCTCCCTTTAAGTCTAGGGTTGCGTTTCTCAAAGAACCGAGCCTAGTTCTTGCCTAGAAGCTTAATAGGCTTGCCAGTCGTCGTTATCCGTCGGCGTATAAGGCTAAAGGCTAGCGAGGGTATATACTTAATTCAGACAGGCTATCCAAGTTCAGACATTAGCAAAAGATACTCAACAAGGGCTTTCTCTTCATCTAGGGTAAGATACTGCTAGCCTTAGGCCTTCTCCTTTATAGAGGGTCGCCCACGCCTGCAGTAGTATCGAGTATAGTACGGAATAGCATCATCCTATAATAGAGAAGTAGTTATTAGTGCATCAAACGAAATGGCTTATGTCAACATATGCCTTAATAGGGCCATGTCTACGATCGTAGTGTTGTAAGTACTACCACTAAGGCCATCACGACAGACACCCACCCTCCACCCACCCTCCCCACCACGCCGCACGGAAGACAAAGGAGCTCGCTCTAATACCAGAAATAGATCAGCACGTAATCAGATAGATGCTTCGAGAACTAGACGCCACACTTTAGCCCGATCCGACCTAGTATAAAAGGGTGCGCTATCCACGTAAGCAGACTAAAGTTACAAGCTAACAGAACAGGGTCACGGCTAGAACTCGGATCTATGCAGAGTATAACTTTTTTAAAGAGAAAATATTAAATAAATATAGAGGTGTGAAGCCAACCAGCCTTAGACTGGCTACTACGGAATTGGCGACGACAAGACTAAACACGCTGTAATATTTTAACTGCCCTTATAGATTTGTAGAGAGTAACCTTAAGAATAAGTATTTTATTATTACGGTGCAATAATAGCGATTGCGTGAGTTCCAAGATACTAAAATCGCGGATTCTTTGCGGCACGGGGGGACTTGCGTAACCCAGGGAGGGATGTTACTAGAAGAAAAATGCATTCATGAAAGAATATCAATTGTGAATGGCTATATATGTTTTGAAAATATGACATGAAGAAAACATAATGGTAAAAGTATTCAAGAGAGAAGAGAAAATGGGCATGAAGCAAAGGCAAAGAACAGGTTCTTTAGTAGTAGCCTTTTTACTTGATGTTGGCAATGGCAGCAGTCCAGGCAGGGTCGCGTGCAGGGTCGGCGGGCGTCTCGACGCATTCGCTCAAGAACTTGTCCCAGCCGTCCTTTGTGGCAGCAGCAAGGCCGGCGCGGACTTCAGGGCTGCACACTGTGCTTACGAACCAGGCTGCGCTGCCGAAGCTCTTCTCGTCGTCGCTGTTGACAAGGGCAAGCACGGCTACCAAACCGGCGTCGCCTCCTGCAGCCTTGGCCTTTGCAACGGCATCTGCGCCAGCGACACTGGTGGCGTACTGCTCGACGTAGTTGGGCATGGCCATCACTAAAGAAGGCGGGTGGTTAGTATGCATGTTTGTTGGGGCTTGGCATGGTGGTGGTACTTACTCCTTGTTCCCTGTCCGGGGCGACCGGGGAAGTGGTTCTTGTTGTACTTGAAGTCGCCGCTCTCGAATAGCTCATAGGCAACGATTGCGGCCTGCTCTCCCTTTGAGGTGATCTTGTAGGTCTTGAATGCCTCGTTCAAAGCAGTGGCGGCCTTTGAGGCATCTGCACACTCGTCGGGGAAGTCTGCACCTGCGCAGGATTCGGTCTTGGGGGCGATGGCGATAAGCGTGGCCGCAGTCAGGGCTGCAGGACCGCCGGCAGCTGGGGCGGGATCCGGGCAGTCAGGCAGGGGTGCGGCAAGGGCGCCAAGGGCGAAAGCGCCCGCACAGAAAAGGTTCTTCTTGAAGCCCATGTTGAGGATGTTTAAGTTTGATGGAGGTTGTTGAAAATAGAATTCTTGGTGGATGTGGTGGGAAAACCGGGTATTTGAACGAATAGGCAATGGTGGAGAAAAGTGAGTGGTTTGAATGTTCTGTTATGTGGTGATGTAGAAGAAAAGAATGGATGTACAATGCCTCTTAACAGAATAGGCGTGAATGGTCTGTTCTTCTGCCCCGCAGAAAATGAATGGCTAAATAAAGAATTCAAGGGTGGACAATGAGGCAGTGTGATGAGGAAGCAAACGCCCAAGATATAGGGCGGTGCACACGGTGGACTGGTTCTTTCAGGCGTCCTACTCCATGTGCCCTTCAGGAGTGGTGTAAGCGTAACCACCGATCAGCAAGCCGCCACGGCCAATCATTTCCTTTGCGCGCGATGGCAAAGCACGTGACCAGGCGTTGTGGGCGGGTGATTGGACGAGTGCAGTTCAGCTGGTGGTCGCGTTTCGAAACGTGAAACAGACGGCGACAAGCCTTTGCCAATGCCATTCAACAACTGTCAAAATCGACTCTAGCACCACTACAAGTAAAATTGCAAGGCCATTGTGCTACATGAGGCATCCTGTTCAGCTCCAGCAGCCAGCGCATGGCTGGCCGGCAGCGGGGCATAATTGCAGCGTGCTGACCGGCCCTTCATCTTGTCTCAGGCGGCCTGATCTGGCTGGACGCGGGCGCACGTGCGACTACTGAGCCACCTGCAAGCCACTAACAAGACGCCCTGCGCCTTGCGTGCCTTTTCTGCTTTGGAGCACCAAGTCCATGCGCGACGGCTGCCTTGTTTACTAATGTGTTAAGCCTCGCTCAGCTGTCTAGATCTCTCTGGTCAGCCACCCGCGGCTTGCCTCTGCTCCAGAGTACATACACTAGCCACATCTTGCCATACACTACTTATGTCGGCAGCTGCTTTTTAATGCATAGTTCGTGACATCATTAAGCCGGCCCGCGGCTCGCCCCACCAAATCGTCTCCAATGCCGTGCCCCTCATGCTCGTCCGGCGCCCGCAATTGACACCCTCACACTCTAAAGCTTCTTCTTCTTCTCACCAGCTCAACACCCTCAAAGCACCGCCAAGATGCCCGTAGAATCCAAATTCGACCCAAAGGACATGCAGTTCAGGCGCCTGGGCCCGGCCGGCCTCAAGGTGTCGGTCCTGTCCCTCGGCGGTTGGTTGACGTACGGAGGAACCCAGAAGGGCTCCATCGTCAAGGACTGCATGGAGGAGGCCTGGAACCACGGAATCAACTTCTTCGACACTGCCGAGGTTTATGCGGCTGGAGAGTGTGAGACTGAAATGGGCAAGGCCTTCAAGGAGCTGCAATGGCCGCGTGACGAGTATGTCTTGTCAACAAAGGTAAGTAGCGCCATGTGCAACACCATTCCATGGTTCAGACCGACATGTTTGATTGACATGTTTGATTGACAGATCTTTTTTGGAACACGGAGGCAGGAGCCCAACACCAGGCAGGTGGACCTCATCCCGTGTTGCTTCTTGGCTAACCAGTGTGCAGGGGTCTGTCTAAGAAGCACATTGTCGAGGGCTTGAAGAGCTCTCTGAAGCGACTTGAGCACTCCTATGTCGACGTTGTCTTTGCTCATCGCTTCGACCCCGAGTATGCAATGACACGCCTTTTTCGTCAGGTGCATTTGCTAATGTGCTTCTGCTAGTGTACCGATGAAGGAGATAGTTGAGGCCTTCACCCAGACAATCAACATGAACTTGGCCTACTACTGGGGCACTTCTGAGTGGTCTGCAGAGCAGATTCAAGAAGCGTGCGACATAGCAGAGAAGTACAACCTCATTGCCCCAGTCGTCGAGCAGCCGCAGTACAACGCCTTCCACCGTGAGAGGTTTGAGAAAGAGTATGCTCCATTGTACAAGAAGTACCAATACGGTACCACCATCTGGAGTCCTCTGGCGAGTGGCATGCTTACGGGCAAGTACAACGACGGTATCCCCGAGGACAGCCGCTTCGCAACCAACTCCGAGTTCTTCAAGAAGACGATTGAGGAACTCAAGAGTGACGAGGGACAGGCTAAGATCAAGAAGGTTAAGGAGCTCACCAAGATTGCAGAGAGGCTTGGAGGCAACACGACGCAGCTGGCGCTTGCCTGGGCTGCAAGCAACCCCAATGTTAGCACCGTCATCCTCGGAGCATCGAAGCCCGAACAGGTCAAAGACAACTGTGCTGCCCTGAAGCTGCTGCCCAAGTTGACTCCAGAGGTCTTGGAAGAGATTGAGAAGATCCTTGCCAACAAGCCCTAAGTAGTGGAAAAAAAAAATTGATACTACCCTAGTCTCAGAGTCATGTTGCTGTGCTTGGTGAGGTGTCATGGTCATATCAGGTCAGGCCAAGACCGAGTAGATAGAAATATGCACGTAACCTTGCCACCTCGCACACACACTCACACAAATAGCAAAGTTACCGTGAAGACGGACCCGAGGCAGAGAGGTGAGTGCTGCATGCACAGTGGGCAAGTAGCATGTCCGAAGTGTTTCGGAGAGATCTATAGCGGCCAAGACTAGCTGGTCTTGTATGACGGCTACTTGACAAACGAACCCATGGTCACGGCCTTTTGGTGGGTAGGGTAGGGTAGGGTAGGGTAGATGAGTGTTTGGGACGTGAAGGTTTCTTTGGCGCTGTGCCGCGGGGATGCATGTGGCCATGGCCATGACCATGGCAGTGCGCCACCTGGAGACGGAGAGCGAGGAGGGGTTAGCTCGAGCCCCTATGCAGGCAGAGAACATGGAGGGCAGAGCCGTACCTGGACAGTGACGATGCACTAGACACCCACCAGTCGAGACGGGGCGGGAGCATGGGCTGATGGCTCGGCCAGACGCTGCTGTCGGCTTGTCGCCGTGCATTGGCCGCTTCGTCTTCCAAATCCATGGGCGGGCCTGTGCCCTCGCGCCGATCAGCTTGGGTGGGTAGCGCATTGCTGTGCGGGCGAATTGGTACTAAACTACCGTCGACATCGCACCGCAAGTGTAAGAGTTGTTCTCAGCCGTCGTCGCCCAGAGATCCCCCGTCTTCTGCTGTGCTACACCAGCTTCTCCGCGCCTGCGACGCCAAGAGCACATCGCACGTCTCAATTGCCTCAGCCACCACTCGCCCACGCCCACGCCTACACCCACGCCCACAACCCGCTCCACCTCGTGCCTACAGCCTGCCGCGCCCTCCCATCCTCCGGCGGTGCGTCTCACCAGCATCCGGAAGCCAACGGCAAAGCCTTGGGCACGCGTGCTCAAAGTACACGACAGCGACGCCTTGGGGTACCAGCCTGACCTTTTGTGAACACCGTCTGCCCCGTCGCAAGCAGTATCGGACGACTGTCTCTCTGCGTGTGCGTGTGTGTATGTTTCGGATGTGCACAGGGATTGCGTGTGGGCTGACAGACGTCGACAACTAGTGTGCCTCTACTCTCCACACCACCCACGCTCCTCCGCCAAAAGCGTCGAGCAGCCTTCGGTCCGCTCGCAGACAAGATACTCTTGGATTTGCCGCTGCCAAACTGCACCTGGTGCTGATCCATGCAGCACACATAGTATGGCCGCCACCATCAAGACCGACCCCTCGGTCGGTGACTCGAGTCATCCAAACGGGAGTGGTAAGTTGGCCTTTTTTTTCCTGCCTTCATCTGGTGCGGCGCGCTTTAATAAGACCCTCCTCTTTGACGTTTGTTGTGTTTTGTCTCCGTTCTTGGCGCGTGGACCCTCGGCCTCGTGATTGGCCGCCTATGCTTCGATTCCCTTTCCATCTCGACTCCACACCTTAAACGGGCGCTGCGGAGACAGATTGAGTCTCGGTCAAGCCCGCCATTCCCGCGTCGGTATAAGCGTCCACTCGAGCCTCACGGCTCTTCTCTGTGCCGGCCATTGGCAACGATGCATGAACGACATGCCACTCGACGATTTTTTACCTGCCTCAGTCGGATACAAGGCTTCGAGGACGCTACATATACATGGCCATACAACGCTTCCCTTCCCCGCATCCAAGCTCGGTACACATACGCACACAGAACGCATACAGAACATATACAGAACGCTTGTCCTTGTTTTCTTTTATTATTTTCTTCATCAACTTTTAATCTTTATACGCAATGTCGCATCAGCGCTTTATGTCATGGCCGAATGCACATATGCTAACCATGGCGCCCACTTACCCTCCTGCCGGCGCTGCAACCGACTACCCATCTCCTGCTGCTTCCCGTCGACCTTCTGAATGTCTGTCGGAGATGAGCATGGGAAGCATAGGAAGCAGTAGGAGAGGTAGCTTGGCTGCTTTCGCGCCGGACGTGGAGAGTACAGGGCAATGGCAATCCATAGGCAGCGAATCAAAGAGTCCTCTAGCCCAGTTTGGCTTCTTCAAGAGTTTAACCGACAAGAAGACAACCCGAGGTCCGTCCATGCCTGCCTAGTTTCACTCGTAATTACTAATTCAGCAAAGATGGACAACCACCAAAGAGAAGGGGTCCCAAGCCCGACAGCAAACCTGCCTTGACACGCAGACAAGAGCTGAATCGTCAGGCGCAAAGGTAACCTCGGCAAAGCCATGCACAACCTCAATCACATGCTAACTTTGTTTGCAAGAACACATCGTGAGAGAAAAGAGCTGTATATCAAGGCTCTCGAACAGGAGGTCATCCGTCTCAAGGACACATTCGCCGCTACTTCGCGTGAGCGTGATGCCTACGCCGAGGAGAACAGGAGGCTTCGTGAGCTACTCATGGCGCATGGCATCGCCTTTGACCTTTCGGGTCGGCCCTCCAACGGTATGGCCCAAGTTGGGAGCTCCACTTACGGAAGTTCGACAGGCAGCGTGTCAGGCTATGGACCAGGTTCAGCCTCTACTGGCTACACCTCACCACCAACACGCGGTTCGGCCTCTCACGATGGCATGAGTGGTCAGCCTTTGACTCTGCAGCATCAAGCCCAGCAGCAGCAGCACCATCACCAGCAAGGACTGGACTATGACCAAATTGGCATAGATTTCGTTTTAACGTACGACCGAACGCCCTATCTTTCTCCTCCACCCCAGCAGTAATGCGCTTACGTCTTTTCTGCCTTGTTTCCTTCAACTCTCGTACGTTTCTCTTTGGTCTTGACAAGATATGCTCTGACAAGTCGTGTCGGACAGGCTCGAGCGACCTTGTATGGACCACATGCAGTTCCTAATGGTACGCGCCCATGATGCCGACGAGAACATTAGCGGCCACGCCCTCATGGCCACGGCACCTCCTGATGCGCACATCACAAACTGCCCCGAGGAGAAGTATCCTCACCAGATGCCCGACGTCAACATGCCGGATCTGATGAAGCTCCTGGATTTGAGCAATCGTCTACCCCTTGACGGGGAGATTACGCCCATCATGGCTTGGGCAAAGATCCTCCAGCACGACAGACTGCGGGATCTATCCAAAGAGGACTTCGAGCTCCTCAAGGGAGAGCTCCTCGCCAAAGTCCGCTGCTACGGGTAAGTTACGAATACTGGGTATCTGCTAGTCCCTGCTAATGCTTGGTAGATTTGGTGCCGTCCTCGAGGAGTTCGAAGTCAGAGATGCGCTCACGACTGTCCTTGCTGGCAAATTCTCAAATGGGTCTCCACCTATAGGATAATGTCTATTTATGAGAACCAAGAAGCAGTATTCATATGTTTTCGGATAATTAGTAATGTCGTTAAAGTGGAGATTAGCAAATGCAAGCCATGTTTTCGCAAAAGAAATGATGTAGTTTGAACCGTGACGCGTCGGAGACTTTCTCGTGCATGTGGCGGGCTATTCTTGAGTCAGGGTCCAAGCCAGACCCCGCGCCAACGAGGGGCTCGCGCTCGACACCTCGACCCTCGAGCATACCTTACTCGTGAAACACACAATTGCTGCCACTTGTTCCATGCTTGCATAAAGCTGCGTAGTGCTATTTAATCTCCCTCGTTACGTTTTCTGCCTTCTACATAACCGCATTCTGTACACTAGAGCTGTCCATACTTCATCAACCCCAGCAGAGCTCCAGCCATGACTGAACTCAGCGTTTACGACAACGACCCGACCATATACCTCTTTACATCCCTGACCGCCGGGTCTTCGCACATCATCACTGCCACCTCGCGAATCGAAACAATTCTCAGAGCGAACAAGATCCCATTTAAAGGGGTAGACACAGCTACTGACGAGCTAGCTAAGAAGCTGTTCCAGCGGAGAGCAAGTGGAAAGAAGTTGCCCCTGATAGTCAAGGAGGGATATGTGCTAGGTGTAGGTACAATACACAGAGTGTAGCCAGTACCTAAAGATTAACATTGAAATAGGGCATCACTGAGATTGAAGAATGGAACGAATACGACGAGATCAGAGAGGCACTGGGGGTGACCTCAGCCTTCACCCCCTTTCCCGCCAAACCAGGGCCGCCGCCCATGGCCGCCTCCACCAGCACCGCCGCGCCCACATCGCTCAAGAGCGCAGCTGCAAAGGAAGATACCACCCCAACCCTAAGCCCAGAGACGAATCTCGCGCTGCGAGAGCTGGGTGCTGAAGCAGCAAAGAAGGCAGCTTCATTGAAGCCCACCCCTGGCAATATCAAGACTACCAATCCGCTGTTGGCCGAGAAGACGAATACCCCGACTTCTGCTTCGATGCTCAAGAGTCCGTTAAAGGAGGAACTGAAGAATGTTCTTTCGCCCCGGACCGTTCCCCTGCCTGATACACCAAAGGTTGCGACACCGACTACACCCAGCGTCACGGCGGATGCAAAGGCGGATGCTCCCACGGTGGAGGCAGATGTAAAGGAGGATGTGAAGGAAGATACAAAGGAAGATGTAAAGGAAGATGTAAAGGAAGATGTAAAGGAAGATGTAAAGGAAGAAGCGGAGGCGGAGGCGGAAGTGAAGGATGAGGCAAAAGCTGAGACGACAACCGAAGAAGAGACTGAAGCAAAGACTGAGGCTACAGCTGCACCAAAGACTGAGACTAAGTCTGCACCAAAGACTGAAGCAAAGGCTACAACAAAGACTGGAATAAAAACTGCAGCAAAGGCCGGATCAAAGACAGAAGCAAAGACCGAGGTAAAGAAGGGGGTGAAGGCGATAGTCAAGCCCTCTGTCAGCAAAGATGTCAAGGCTAAGGACACCAAGGCGAAAGATACAAAAGCAAAAGACGTCAAAGCAAAAGATGTCAAACCAAAGGATACGAAGACGAGCACTACAGGCTCTAAAATACCAAAAGCGTCATCATCATCATCGACAACGACAACAACAACACGGAAACCAACAACTGGTCTCTTTGGCATGCCAAAGGCTGCGCCAAAGTCCAAGCCCAAAACTGCATCTGCATCTACAAGCAAAACTGCAACCTCTGCAACCTCTGCATCAGCCAGAAGGGCTGCGACCTCGACATCTGCTAGCAAGGCTGCAGTCAAACCCAAGGACGCAAAGCCAAAGGATGCAAAGACGTCAAAAGCAACTGCCGCAAAGAGCATTCCCAAAATATCTGATGTACAGAAACCCGTCCAAACACCTCCTTCCATGCATGATGATGCCAAGAACCCCGCGCTGAGTGCTGGTCCGGTAAGCACTACGCAGGCAGAAGCTAGTAAAGAGGAAGAGGACAAGGAGGGCAGTGACGAAGAGGAAGAAGACTCCGAAGAGGAAAGCTCTGAGGAGGAAGATGATGAGGAGACAGACAAGGATGCTAGCACAGCTGCAACCACAAAGGATGGGGCTGCTGTTGCCGCCGTAACCAAGGAAAGCAGTTCCGAGGAGGATGAAGACGACAGCGACGAGGAAGAAACCGACGAAGAAGAAGAAGCAGAGGGCGAAGCCGCAAAGGGAAAAGCAGCTGTACCAGCAAAGAAGAAAGAAGAGGAAGAAGAGGATGACGACGACGATGAAGAAGATAGTGACGATGACGAAGAGGAAAGCAGCGGAGAAGAAGAACAAGACGAGAAGGACCCCAAGACCCAGGAGCAACCCGCTAAAGCACAAGACAAAGCCGGTGTCAGTGTAAAGGACTAGACTTGGCTACCCTATGTGCTTTACTTTACCTCTTATACCGCAAATCCCAAACTTACAAGTCTAAATATCGTGCGTTTTTGAGCACTTTACTTGTATATAGGGGCCTTGTTTGGGCTTGGAAAGCGAGAGGAGTGGAAAGTCTGAGTATATTGATTAACAAAGTCTTTTTTCTTTTTCCTCTTTCTGTATCTATCTAGCTCTTTTTTCTAGTTGACTACTTCGTTGGTTTAGCGTTAGACCACTCTCTCTAACGTGGTTCACAAGCGAATCGGTTGCCCAAGCGAATCGGTCGCGCCCCACCAGCGCGTCAACGTCAAGGCGATATCACGCGCTTTTATCACAATTAATAAACTATCGCA